GTTCATTACTGCTTCACTGTGCCCCCATAGTAATGTCCTAATGTCCCTGGGTGAGTTCCCCCAGCCAGAGGTAGTTGGAATTTTCTTTCTCCTGCCTTGCCACAAGTGGCTACTAAGGAGATGTTTCTAGTCTGCCATCTTGCTTCACCTCAGAAAATCTGTTATTAAGCTCAGTTGAACCCAGTTTTCTTATTTTTCTTTCTAAGGGGATTACCTAGAAATTATATAGGCATACATTTCTTCTCACCTCAGATCATTTTCCCATCTCTTTCATACAAATTTCCTAAACTATATGCATTCTTCCCTATTATAATCTCTGTTAGCTTCACTTATCACCACTATAACACACCATCCTTTGCTGTGTTTATTAAAATTTGTTTGTTCACTTTATTTTTAATAGTAAACACTTACAGACATGAAAATATTTAATTGCTTTGTTATTTATCATGTTGTTTCCCACAATATGTACCATAATATTTCATTAAAGATGGATGATATGTTTGGGTCAATTTTACTTTTAGAATCGTAGCACTAGATTTCTAAATGAAAGATCATTCCATTTTATCCAATTTCAAAAAATGCAAAATAAAAATTAATCATTGTTATGTGCCCATATAAAATCCAAATCATTTCAATAAAACTTTAGGGAAGTAATTCTATCTCTAAATGATGTCACAATGATTTCTTAATGTTTGAATTCCTAAATTTTCTATCATACAATTTGAGAAATAACATGTTTTGCATGAATATTTCAAAGATAATACAAGGAATCATTTTCTTGTACATTATATGGGTTAATATACAGGATGTAGTAACAGCAATGATTATAATTGGTTTGGGTACTAGTTGTCATCACGATTATAAATGATAAAACAAAATACTTATTTTTTTCTTCACCTATTTTCTATTAAAATCAGTTTAACCAAAATATAACTTAAAATGTGTCTCAAGAATGTACTTTCATACTTAGATTTGATTAGATGAAAGCTAGAAACCTAACCAATATTGGCTAGATTTGATCACTCTGTTGATGTTGCTCTAAATCAATGTCCATGGGCTTAGAGTAAAAGCTGATAAAATTTCATTAAAATTTTCATTCTCAAAACCAACGAGTATGGCATAATTATTATTGTTCAAAAGATACAGATTACAATGTCTGCCTTTTTTGTTTTGTTCTCAAGTCTTTACTCTGGGACTTCATTTTGTCCTTTTGCCAAGTTATAGCACTTGAGTGAGTTGAACCACTTTTGTTAAAGTGAAACCTTGGGGAATAATTCTCAAATGCCCAACACTAAGGAAACTACTATAAATCTTACTCTGGTCTCTGGTTAAATTGTGATGTGGCAATTTTATGTGGAATTTAGTAATTGTAGAGTTGATGAGGCATCTTAGAGTCAGCTAAAAATGGAAGGAAAGCATGCAGGATATTTGGGTAAGCTTTATTTTATTGAGAACATGAAATGCTTATGAAAATACCCTCTGATTAAATAAGTTAATTTAAATTGTAGTAAATTGGGTGAGAGGTCTAAATCAACTACAGTTTTTAATTAACTCCAATCAACTAATAAAAATGGCAACCTCAATTAAAGTAGCATTGAGCAATAATAGAGTCTAAAAATAATTAATACCGACAATGCTTGTATTGTGCTTATTATGCTAAAAATATTATTAATAAGAATAATACTTGCATTGTGCTTACATTACACTGATTACATGCTAAAAGATCTCCAAAGTACCTTAATCTATGAAAAGCTTTAGTCCACACAATAAAGCATGCACACTTATTATCTACATTCAACAAGCTACTAAAATATAAAAAGGCGCTCCTCCAAAAAACATAGCAACTGTTTGAACTCAGGGCTCCTGGCACCAGAGTTTTGATATTAACCACCGCACTACATCAGGTCTCTGTGGAATAGTACCCATGTCACTGTGTCTTTTGTACATGGATCTAAAATGCATTTCTACAACATCGAATATCAGGGTTATTTAACAATACAAAGACCAATATTTAGATATTTTAAGTTGAGAATCATTAATGCCAATTTAAAACAAAAGTGACTCATAGAAATTCAAATGTTTCAATTTCATTTTTAAAGACATAGAAGTAAAAACATGCATGTTTTGGTTCTTCTCTAATAAATAGGTACTGTGGTATAAGGTCTAGAGCCAAATTTCTTTTTTTTTTTTTTTTTTTTTTGTGACAGAGCCTCAAGCTGTCCCCCTGGGCAGAGTGCCGTGGCATTACAGCTCACAGCAACCTCCAACTCCTGGGCTCAAGCGAGTCTCTTGCCTCCGCCTCCCAAGTAGGTGGGACCACAGGTGCCTGCCACAACGCCCAGCTATTTTTTGGTTGCAGCCGTCATTGTTGTTTGGCAGGTCCGGGCTGGGGAATCGAACCTGCCACCTTAGGTGTACGTGGCTGGTGCCTTAGCCGGTTGAGCTATAGGCGCCGAGCCTAGAGCCAAATTTCCTGTGCTAAATTGTAACTTCCTTTTTAACAGCAGTGTAAATGTGGGTAAATTGTCTTAACTCTCAAAGTCTCTCCTTTTTCCTCTCTTTAAAGTGAGAATAATTATAATAAAACTTCATATCATTTATAGTAAGGTAAAATGAGATGACAACTGTATCATGGTTGGGACCCTGCCTAGAATGGCCATCTTATCACAAAACACTACAGAGCATATTGGTCAACTTTTTCTTTGAGTTCTTGACAGAATAGGTGCTAAAAATGTATTTATTGATTTAGAGTTCAGTGAACATTCTATTATCACATCATTTGCTCATCCTACCATTTCCTCAAATATTCTTTATTTTATAAGTTGGCATTTTCTGATGGTATTCTTCCAAAGAAAGGCTGTAAGTATTGTGACATCCATGGATAAGGTTTCATTAACACTCGACCTTATTTCCACAGATGAAAAATAAAGTAATATACACTGGGAAAATCTAATAGTATTAACAACCAATGCCTCTTGGCAATCATCTACTACAAGGCTTTCAGCTTAGAGGATTTTATACATATATTTTCCCACCACAAAGTTCATTATTGATATAGGATTAGACCACATGCTTCACCATTTGTGCTTGTTAAACAGTGAAATGTGGAATTCTAATGAGTACAGTGAAAGTTTTGCAACAAAAGGAAATAACCTAACAAAACATCTAAAACACCATAGTACACAGAATTACTAGTGACACTGAGCTAGACCTGAGTGCTCAGAATAACAATAATGGTAAGTCAATGTGAGGACCAAGAGAATAGGCCCTAGAGTAAGGCAGAAAGGCCTGGCCAATTTCTAGAGTGAGACCTTGGCACAATTCTTAATGCCCCTTATAATACCTGCTAAAATTAACATATAGCACATAGGGCTTCTGTGTGTATTAAATAAAGACAGTTTGGGGATTTTAAAGGTTGATTAGCCTGTAACAATTGACCAATAAATACTAGCTATTTATTTCAGAATTAGGTTTGTAGTCTTTTATTACTTTCTATATAATCTATTACAGTACAACTACGTATACTCATCGTAAAAGTGCCCAAAAACAAGAAAGAAAAAAATACTGAATTTCACTCCGATCTTTGGTGGTATTTCCTTCCTCATGTGAGATTCTGTGGCACTAACTCTCCTAGGAAAATGAATGACTTTTGGTGAGACAAGAACATTCACTGGTTCTTTAGGAGTTACCCAGTTATGTCTCATCTACTACTTGTTTCCTTATAAGATAAAATAATATTATCTAAAGATGGTTATTTTATTCAAGTTCAACAGAGTGCAGCATATTCCTGGCCATATTGGCAAAAATCTCAAAACTGTAACTTCTCTTTTATGTAAAAATTACTTGTTTTGCTTCCTTATAAACTTAGAATGGCTTTTTGATTTGCTTGTTTCTAGGCAAGATTCAGGGCATTTAGGTTTTGGAATCTAGATTTCCGACAATGTAAACTCTAATGTTCAAAGTGAAAAAAATTTATGTTGTATTCTGCCTGTTATGGAAAGTATATGAAATCAAGTCCATTCAGTGTTGTGGATGATATAAAAGGACTCATTTATTTCTTCACTCAGTACATTTATTTGAGTCTTAACTCTTAGCCAAGTGCTATTTCAATTGCTCAAATTACATTAGTGGAGTAAATAACATAATATTTCCTCTCAAGACCAAAAACAGAGAGGTTAGGGAGAAAAAGTGCTACACTGCTGGATTTGAAAACAAAGAAAGGGGCCATAGATAAGGGGATGCAGGTAATCTTTACAAGCTTTAAAAGGCAAGTAAGGAAATTCTTCTCTAATGCCTCTGAAAGGATCAAGGGCCTTCTAACACACTTTAGGCTACTGAAACTCACTCTGTATGTACTCTGTCCTCTGGAACTGCAAGATAATTAAGTTCTTTTGTTTAAACTACTTTGTTAGAGCAGTTCAGGAGACTAATAATAGACAATGTCAGATAGTGTGACTTTATTTTACATATATAGTCAATCCACTTGTCAACATCTCCCAGCGTAGCCCAGATGACAAGTCTTGTAATGCAAAACTAATAATAGTTAAGTCTCAGTTGTCCTTATGTCTGTCTCTATGTTCTGACTTTGAGTCTTCTTTAAATTGAAAGAAAAATAAAAAAAAACCTAGGGATGTGAAATGAAAGAATGACTCAAAATAGATTAGATTCCTTTCCCATATATTATCAGTGCAATCAGAGTCAAATAACATGGTGATGCATTTATAGGTGCAGATTGTTTGCATGCAAATGCTTACTTCCAATTCCTTTTCCCCTACAGCAGAAGCTATTCCTTTTCACAGCATGTGGAATGCAGTAGACCAAGGTATTATACCCAAGATCATAAACAGAATGTTTGCAGTGTCACATGAAGATCTCAAATTTAATTTAATGGCCATAAGCATTAAATAATATTTAGCTTACAAATTTTCTCCTTCCTCCACTGCCTCCCTTCTCTTTCTCCTCTCTTTCTTTTTCTGTCTCTCTTAGGCTGTACTTACACAATGGAAAATTTTACACATGTCTCAGAGTTTGTTCTACTTGGATTCCAAGGGGGTCCAAGAACACAGACCATGCTATTTTTGATTTTTTTCACCCTGTATGTCATAGCTGTAGTGGGAAACTTTGGTATGATTGTAATTGTCAGGGTGGATTCATGCCTCCACACTCCAATGTACACCTTCCTCCAAAGCCTCTCCTTGTTGGACATCTGCTATTCTTCCACAATTGCCCCCAGGACTCTGATGAACTGCATAAAGGAAGACCACACGGTGTCCTTTGGTGGATGTGCTGCTCAGTTCTTCTTCCTGTCTCTCTTTGGTACCACAGAGGCCTTTCTCCTGGCTGCCATGGCCTATGACCGCTTCATTGCCATCTGCAACCCTCTTCTGTACTCTGTGACTATGTCTCACCAGGTCTGTGTATGGCTAGTCTTGGGATCTTACTTGTGGGGTGTACTCAATGCTGTCACTCAAACAATGATGACCTTCAGCTTGCCCTTCTGTGGGTCCAATGAAATCAATGACTTTTTCTGTGACATCCTCCCTCTCTTGCCTCTCTCCTGTTCAGACACCTTTATAAACCAACTGGTTCTTCTTGGCTTATGCGGTTCCATTATTATCGGTACCTTCTTGATTGTTCTCATCTCATACACCTACATCATCTCAACTATACTAAGGATGCGGACACCACAGGGCCGCCAGAAAGCCGTCTCCACATGTGCCTCCCATCTAACTGGAGTGTGCTTGTTTTTTGGAACAGTTTTCTTCATGTATGCACAACCTAGTGCCATCGTCTCCATAGAGCAAAGTAAGGTAGTGTCCATCTTTTACACCATTGTCATTCCCATGTTGAATCCCCTGATATACAGCCTGAGGAACAAAGATGTCCAGCAAGCTTTGAGGAGGAGCAAGAAGAAGTTTTCTTTGTGATTACTGTGGATCTCAGGTTACCCTGGATTTTATTCCAAATCACTGCCACTCATGTAGATTATGTTGTACAAACATGGCATTACTGGTCTTCTTAGTTTCCTTATGATAGTCTGTAATATAGAAGACAGAGTGTGTTCCAATTGTCTTTTGTGTTTAACAATTAACAAAATGAAAGTATATGAAAAATAAAATGATGTAGACTGAAAGAATCAGTAATTGAATAGATGGATATATGTGATTGTTTTATCTCCTGTAAAGCATCTTGATCCATCAGAATATAAGTGCGTAAAAAACTGTATACATTCATAAAAAATTTAATAAAATGCTTATCTTGAATGCAGCTCACCAAAAAAAATATAAATCCTTTTCAAATGCTGCTGGAATTTTAATTAGGATTAAATCAAATCTGTACATCAATTTGGAAATAAATTTCATTTTAACAACATTGAGATTTCTAACCCATGAATTCAGTTTACCCTTTCAATTATTTCCTAATGTTGTAATGTCAGCATTTTTTATAGTTCTCAGATAGCCTTTCAAATCTTTATTTTTTTCTTTACAGATTAATCCATAACTAGTTCATGTTTTTGGTACTGTTGTAAAAACATAATTTTTACAATTTCAGTTTCTGATTATTTATTGACAGTAAATAGACATTCAATTGATTTTTACATATTGGCTTTGTGTTTTTCAAAATTGCTCAATTCAGTTGCTATTTCTAGTTACATTTTTGTATATTGTATTGTATTTTCTACAGGTAGTATCACTTAATTTATGAATATAGAATTCTTTCTTTGCCAGTATGGATTTTTTTTACTTAACTGATTTCTTTTCTATTTCTTTATTTTACTTTGTTGCACTGACTAAAACTTCTACTAGGAAATAAGTGAAAACCACAAAAAAATTTAAACAAAATCCATACGCCCATTTTTGTTCTTAAAAACGTTCTATTTTTAATGGTTATATAGAGAATGTGTTTCAGAACCATTGGGATGGATAGCACCTCATCATCTAAAATGATTTGCTTCCCTTCACTTCATTGTTATTACTATCTTAGGTCATAATGTTGTAATTTCTTAACTTAATTATCAAAAATGTCCAATCATAAATCCATTTCTAAAGTACCATTGAGTAGAAACATGACATTCTCACTCTGTCCATGATGATACTTCAGAAGAATTCACCAGAATAAAGTCCAATTCCATGAAATAACATTGGAAACATTTTGTCTGGGTCTTACTTAAACCAGACTCTTAAACAAACTTGTTATTTCAAGAAAGATTTTCCTGAATATTAGCTAGACTAGACTATGAGGATAAGACAAATGGCTCCTGTATTAAATATAATGAATCTTATTTTAAAAAGATGCATATAAATGTCTATAAAACCACACGAATATGAAGGATTAGTATTTATATTGGTTATTTTGGACTCCCCAGGAATTTGCACCCAAGCTCTATAGGGAAGTTAAATGTGTCTGCTGGATGTTGAGGACAAATGAGGTTTATTAGTGTTATCTGCCCTGAAGAGCATCCTCCCAGCACTCTAATCTTATCTCCCTTGCTTGTGTTGTCTTTCTTCATGACACTTAACACCATTCAGTACAGGATAGGCAACATGAGAACAGAGACTTCTGACATTCTTGTTCATTGCTCCATCTCCAATTCTCAAGGACCATTAAGTGCAAATTTTCAGGATATTACCCTCCCTATACCAACTTAGCTAGCATCAATCTTCCTAATAGTCCAAGTTTTACGGTCAGGATTCACTTTACAGAGTACTAGTGGTCATTGTGATGCTGACAACATTGATTATAAGATAGGAATTCTTCCCTCAAGATAAGCATTTGATCATTTTCAAGATTCCAGTCACAAGCACTCACCTGAGAGAGACCCTCCCCCAATGTGCGTCAAGAATTATTGTAATATAAATGGGGTTAAAAGTAACAAGAGGAACTTCATTAATTAATGAAGTTACTAAAAGTAATGTTTATTAATGCTTCATTGCTGAAGAAGAAGATGATCACAGAGACGGGCTTAGAGGGGCAAGACAAAGACATGATCATCTTATTAATGCTTCATTGCTGAATGCTGAATGAAGGCTTCAAAATGTTCCTAGACGGCAGAAAAAACTCCATCTTTTTCCTTAGTTTTATGGACTAAATGCTTGTGCCCCTCCCCAATTCATTTGTTTAAGTCCTTAAGTCCCAATTTGATGGCATTTAGAGTTTGAATTTTAGGAAGATAATTAGAATTAAATAAAATCATATGAGCGAGGCTCTGATCAGATAGAAATAGAGCTCTTACTAATAATAAGAGACTTTTGCTCTCACACTCTCTCTCTCTAAATGTACCCAAAAGAAAAATTGTGAGGGCACAGAGACAGGGTGGCTGTCAGAAAATCAGGAACAACTTTATGAGAAACTGAATATTACAGGACCATGACCTTGGGCTTCTAGCTCCCAAACTAAAGGAAATAAATTTCTGTTGTTTGTCATTCAGTCTGTGGCATTTTATTTTTTCATCCCAACAAGACTAAGACAAAGCATGAGGTGAAGCTTAGCAAATTTATTTTATTTTATTTTACTTTATTTATTTATTTATTTATTTATTCATTTTTTGAGACAGAGTCTCACTATGTCACCCTCAGTAGAGTGCTGTGGCATCACAGCTCACAGCAACCTCCAACTTTTGAGTTTAAGCAATTCTCTTGCCTCAATCTCCCAAGTAGCTGAAACTATAGGCACCCACCACAACGCCCAGCTATTTTTTTGTTGCAGTTGTTTAGCTGGCCTGGGCTGGGTTTGAGCCTGCCACCCTCAGTGTATGCGGCTGGTGTCATAACCACTGTGCTACAAGCATCGAGTCACAAATTTATTTTAATAGCTAAAAATCTGTAGGAGTTACTGCATGTTTTTAAAGGATTAGAGGAATTCTGAGTCTGGGAGGGACACTGCTGTTATTATCTGCTTTTTATGAACAAAACATAGCCCACATTTTAAGCATAGATATGAAGATGTTTAGGATGAGACTGCTGTGGAAGTTGATATCAAATTATTGGGCAATTACTGACATATAGATAATAAGATCAAATGTACGTATTAATCCAGTGCCAGTGCTAACAAAAACTTTTGAAAGTATCACTCATAGTTATTGGCTATATGTAGGGCCTTGAACAATACCTGTGATGTTGTATAAGATATCTGTCATTTACAGATATATATTAGAGTGGAAGCTTTTCTCTCCTGGATCTGAAAGATAAAATCCCAGAGATGGGCTTAGAGGGGCAAGAGAAAGACATGATCATCTTACTCTCAAGTTCTCACCCTTGTGTGTGGTGGTGAGAGTTTGTGATCACATATATGTAAGGTTAACAAACAGATGTGTAAATTTTGTCTTCATTGAATTAAAAACTGTATTGTAGCAAAAGAACTCTTAAAATATCAATTTTGGTGGCATGATTTGTCAAAATTTTTTCAATAAAATTCTTCTGATAAATTCTGATGAGTTTAAGAAGGTCTTAAATGTAATAAACTTCTATTTCCTGATTTATTTCTTTATTTTATTATGTGTGTACATAAAACTTATTGTCATGATTTACATAACTATAATTAGACTTAATTTATAAAAGAATCCTCACATTTTTTTTCTTCACATAAGTCTTGCTTTTCTGGCCAATTACTATTCTACAGAAACATAATAATTTGCTTCTCAATCTCATCAAAATTTTAACTGAGATTTTTAATGAAAATCTTAAAAAGTTAATAGTTTTGTGACATTGAAAATTTCTATTCTTTAATATGGTATATTATCCCATTTAATTACATTTTTTCCTTATTCACCAAATCTTGCACCAGTTTATATATTATCCCAAAAATCTTATTTTTTTTATTTATTATCAAATAGAATATTTAAAAGTCACAATTTCCCAATGTAAATAACTATGCATAATTTTATATATGTATATTAAGGTTTCTTGCTAACTTGCTGACTTTTCTTTTAAACTCAAAAAACAACATTCATAAATTATTATTATTTTGATTGACAATAACCCTAATCTATTTTGTTTTAATTTTGTCTATATATATACATCCCAATCTATTTTTGAATGAATGGTATTAGAAGACACGGTACTTAGCTATCTGATTAAAATTCAATGTGTTTATTATTGATGTATTAACTGGATAGAAGAGAAAATTTCTTCTACTCTAGTGTCAAGGAAGTTTATTTTCTAGAATGGTATCATTGGTGAATATGTTTCTGTATTGACATAATCTTGGTATTTCTATTATTTGTTAATGTATTGGTTTGGTATACTACATTGCATAACAATGATGCAAAGAATTGGTTCTCTTTCCTTGTTTATATTTCAAATGCATACCAATTAAATACTCCGAGTTTTTTGATGCATCAATGATTAATTGATGCAAATTAATACTAATTAAATAATTCAAACTTGGGCATGAGGCTTTATTGATGCATAAGTATGGTTCTGTTTATTATATTGAAACCCATCTCTCTAAGTAGGATTGGCCTGTCCCCTCTTTTCTTCTAATGCCATTCTGTGGTTTTGGCATGAAGCTACATCTAAATATCTAAAATACGTTAAATTATATTTCTACTATCTCTGTTCTCTAAAAGATTTTGGGTACTCTTAAAAATATATATTTTTTGAGTGAGACAGGGTGGCTTATGCCTACAATCCCAGTGACTCAGGAGGCTGGGGATGCTGAAGTGGGAGAACTTTAGGACAGGAGTTGAAAACAAGTCTGGGCAACATGGAAAGATCTTGTCTCTACATAATTAGATAAATAAAACATTACCTGGGTGTAAAGACATGCACCTATAGTTCCAGCTAATCCAAAGGCTGGGGCAGGAGGAACGCTTAAGTCAAGGAGTCCAAGACTGGGATGCAGTGAGCTATGCTCACACCACTGCAGCCCAGTCAAGGCAACATTCATCTCTAAAAAAAAACATTCATCTCTAAAAAAAAAATATGAG